GGGGGAGCTTAGACACCTGTCTGTCAAAGAGCTTAGACACCTGTCTGTCAAAGAGCTTAGACACCTGTCTGTCAGAAACTACAGTGGGGAGAGCTTAGACACCTGTCTGTCAAAGAGCTTAGACACCTGTCTGTCAAAGAGCTTAGACACCTGTCTGTCAGAAACTATAGTGGGGGGAGCTTAGACACCTGTCTGTCAGAGACTACGATGGGTGGAGCTTAGGCACCTATCTGTCAGAGAGTACAGTGGGTGGAGCTTAGGCACCTATCTGTCAGAGAGTACAGTGGGTGGAGCTTAGACACCTGTCTGTCAAAGAGCTTAGACACCTGTCTGTCAGAAACTATAGTGGGGGGAGCTTAGACACCTGTCTGTCAGAGACTACGATGGGTGGAGCTTAGACACCTGTCTGTAGAGACTACAGTGGGTGGAGCTTAGGCACCTATCTGTCAGAGAGTACAGTGGGTGGAGCTTAGACACCTGTCTGTCAAAGAGCTTAGACACCTGTCTGTCAGAAACTATAGTGGGGGGAGCTTAGACACCTGTCTGTCAGAGACTACGATGGGTGGAGAGTAGACACCTGTCTGTAGAGACTACAGTGGGTGGAGCTTAGGCACCTATCTGTCAGAGAGTACAGTGGGTGGAGCTTAGACACCTGTCTGTCAAAGAGCTTAGACACCTGTCTGTCAGAAACTATAGTGGGGGGAGCTTAGACACCTGTCTGTCAGAGACTACGATGGGTGGAGAGTAGACACCTGTCTGTAGAGACTACAGTGGGTGGAGCTTAGGCACCTATCTGTCAGAGAGTACAGTGGGTGGAGCTTAGACACCTGTCTGTCAAAGAGCTTAGACACCTGTCTGTCAGAAACTATAGTGGGGGGAGCTTAGACACCTATCTGTCAGAGAGTACAGTGGGTGGAGCTTAGACACCTGTCTGTCAAAGAGCTTAGAAACCTGTCTGTCAGAGACTACAGTGGGTGGAGCTTAGACACCTTTCTGTAAGAGATTACAGTGGGTGGAGCTTAGACACCTTTCTGTAAGAGACTACAGTGGGTGGAGCTTAGACACCTGTCTGTCAAAGAGCTTAGACACCTGTCTGTCAGAAACTACAGTGGGGGGAGCTTAGACACCTATCTGTCAGAGATTACAGTGGGTGGAGCTTAGACACCTGTCTGTCAAAGAGCTTAGACACCTGTCTGTCAGAAACTACGGTGGGGGGAGCTTAGACACCTATCTGTCAGAGATTACAGTGGGTGGAGCTTAGACACCTATCTGTCAAAGAGCTTAGACACCTGTCTGTCAGAGACTACAGTGGGTGGAGCTTAGGCACCTGTCTGTCAGAAACTACGGTGGGGGGAGCTTAGACACCTATCTGTCAGAGATTACAGTGGGTGGAGCTTAGACACCTATCTGTCAAAGAGCTTAGACACCTGTCTGTCAGAGACTACAGTGGGTGGAGCTTAGACACTTTTCTATCAGTGACTACAGTGGGTGGAGCTTAGACACTTTTCTGTCAGAGACTGCAGTGGGTGGGGCTTAGACACCTGTCTGTCAGAGACTACAGTGGGTGGGGCTTAGACACCTGTCTATCAGAGTTTACAGTTGGTGGAGCTTAGACGCCTGTCTATCAGAGACTACAGTGGGTGGAGCTTAGAAACCTGTCTGTCAAAACGGACGGTGAGTGGAGCTTAGACGCCTGTCTATCAGAGACTACAGTGGGTGGAGCTTAGACACTTGTCTATCAGAGACTACAGTGGGTGGAGCTTAGACACTTTTCTGTCAGAGACTATAGTGGGTGGAGCTTAGAAACCTGTCTGTCAAAACGGACGGTGAGTGGAGCTTAGACATCTGTCTGTCAGAGACTACAGTGGGTGGAGCTTAGACACTTTTCTATCAGAGACTACAGTGGGTGGAGTTTAGACATCTGTCTGTCAGAGACTATGGAGGGTGGAGCTTAGACACCTGTCTGTCAGAGACTATGGAGGGTGGAGCTTAGACA